CATTTATAAAGTAAGAAAAAGAAAAAGCAAATCGATTTGCTGAGCGAAATCTAATCTTATCACTGTAATTCTCATGGAATACATACATACATATACTCTTATGTTGATACATTATACATATGTATGTATGAAAAGAACAAAAAATAAACTCGTTTAAAATTATTTCATTGATCTTTTCCTCGCTTGATTTACCATCACAAGCAATTAACATGATTTGCAATATATCAAATTACCAAATAAAATTAATGAATTTAATTTGAATATAGCTGGGCGAGTCATAATTTTGATAAGGATATTTGTTTGATACACGAATAAGTATAGTTTGCTCTACATAGTACTTTGCCTACATGGTAAGTATACGTACGGTGGCCAGATTTCTGTGGGATTCTGAAGAATCGAGAATGAAAACATACAATTTTGTTTTTAGAATAAAGAGACATAAATAGTATCGTTTAATACACATAAACAAAAAATCAAAGAGAAACAAACTTGAAAAATTATCGCAAAAATTTATACATACAATGTATTGCACGTTTAATAATATAAAGACGTTATTCAAAATTTACGTTTTTGGAGATTTGGATTGATAAGGAGATAAGTTGTTTGTAACAGATGACTAAACTTCAAAAAAAAAAAAAAAATGGCGACTATATGTGTATTTCAATCTATCTTTTGGTATACCAACTGTATGAATTGATCAAACCTTGACTGCGCTTTCCCACAAAATTTAATTTTTGAAATAAGTCTTTATATTATTAACCTTCCGATATTTATGCTTGTATTTTACAAATTCGTAAATTTTTGAAGGAAACAAGTATTATTTTTTATAATTTTACGAAATTCGAGTTTCTATAGTTTCATTCAAGGCGAATTTATATAAGGTGGTGTTACTAGCATGATAAAAACATAGCAAGGTACAACCGTTCTCTCAATTTGTCGGCCATGATTTTTTTTTTTGAAGTTTGCCAACATTTTAAAATCATATAAAAGAGAAAATAAAAAATTGAAATTGTTCGAAATTGTTGTTGCTTGAGATTGAAAATGAAAATGTGTGTGTGTGTTTGTGAGTAAATTTAAAAATTAAATTGTTTGGAAACGTCAAGAATTTTTAAATTGACTCTCAGCGGTTCTACCCTACTATATTTTTATCATGGTTACTAGCTCAGCTGATTTTGTGTATGTGTTTCGCCGCACGTCTTCTGATATCAACCCTGCAACCAAAGTTTCCGAAATCTTAACGAAATCTTTAGGAGTATCTCATTTCTGTAACGAGTTTTTTACGAATCTTCAAAGAATATTGTATGAAGGGGTTGACACGAACTCGTAAAGAAATTTCTGTATGAAAAACAAAGATAATTCTGAAAAAATTCTGCAAGAAATTCTTCACATAGCAGCATTATTTTCATTGCTTTACCGATTTTCTTCCGAAATTTCGTAAAGGAATCGAAGTGTGCACAGTTTATTTCATTTTAGAAAATTCGGCGAAAAATCGGACGAGATCTTTACGAATTCTTTCAAATTTCTCTACAATTCAGAATACTCTGAAAAAATGGTTTGCAGGGAAAATGAAAAATTTTGTTTGAATTTCTACACACACTCTTACAGATTTTGACAGTTTATGCCGCCAAAGCAAAAACAAAATACATGAAAATTTTTGTTTTTGTACACCTGCTATCATCACCTTATATTAATTCGCCTTGGTTTCATTAAAAAAAAAAAAAAACAACAAACTTAGCAAATAATTATAAAAACCTAAATGAAAATTAAATCAAGAATGACGGAAACATATATTCTGTGTTCTTTGAGATAACGAAACTGCTGCCACGCCCGAAAAATTGGTTTTGGGCTACACCGCGACTTCTATTAAATTACAAGAAGTAAACAAGGAAAATCGGGATTTAAGCGGTACAAATATGAATAATCGGGACACTTCCCCGACTTTAAAAAAATATTCGGCGGGACAACTTTCTCAAAATCGGTACTGTCGCGCCAAAATCGGTACGAATGGTCACCGCAAGTATACGCCTAAGTTTCGTTACTCATATGCACTGTCCTACGCTTCATATGTTTATGTGCCTCTACAATCGTTTGTCGGTTTGAACCGATCATCCTTGGTAAACCTGGGCTCGAATCGTAACATCCGTTCACGGAAGTCTTTTGAATAAAGCCAACATAAAGTTGCTTATTGGTTACCTAACCAGTCGTGATCACCTACGCTCTCATATATATAGGCACCGGATTGGCCTCTACACAGAGATGGATTTCCGTCTCCGACGTCGGAGAACATTATGTGTGATTGTCCAACTTTAGCCAAACTAAGACTGCAGCACTTCCGTTCCGCCAAAGTCCATGACCTTAAGGTCTACCAAGAAACTTTTAACCTTTATTAGGGAGGCTGATAATATCTTGTACCGTTGGGGTTTGGAAGCATCATAAGGATATAAAGAACTTCGAGATCACAGCGTACTTTGTTTTGTTGCACCCATTAAATTTCCAGTGTAAACTCCTCAAATAAAGGACCAAAATAGGATGCATTTTTCATTAATTTTTTTTTTTGTTATAAAATTCAGCACAAATTTTTCATTATTTTTTTTTTTCTAGAAATTGCCTTGCAAAAAATACTTTAGATTCGAAGGTGCACGGCGAACTTTTAGTTGAGGTAACTAAACTATTTTCTTAGTGTACCATCAATTTCGTAATATGGCAGTAAAGGATTTGATCTGCAGGCGCTTCAATTTTCCGTTCCTTTTGTTTCGAGGAGGTGAAGAGGTGAGCGACCCCTTGCTGCCTAAAGGCCAAAAGTTAAAAATTTAAATTGTATGTAAATTTCCAGATACTTACTTTAACCTTTCGACTTTTGCAGCATGTAAGTACAAATATAATTTTTGAATATTTCAAGTTGAGGGAAATCCAAAAACATTGTTAGGCAGGGACTGCAATTCACTTCCGAGTGTATTTCAACCAAAGTCACTTTGAATTCAAATTGAAAGGAGTTGAAATTCACTCGGCAGTGATTTGCACAGCCTGGCTGAATATCTATATATTTTTTTTTTTTATAACAATGCTTTGGTCTGGGACATGTGTACATAAATATGGCTGTGTTCGAGCTACATTATAATTTCCGCAATATTGCAGCCTTGTTGCTTGCTTGTTGATATGTTGCTGATGCTTAACTGAAAATCTTCTGAAATGCTGCATAAATTGCGCAGTAAAAATTTGTATGTTGCTTTTGTTTTGCCAATGATGAGCAACTGATTGTAAAAATTTTGTTCCTCGAACGCTTGAGTCGCACAAATTCTCGCGTAGGACGTGACGCTTTTTCATCAAAAGTAACACTGCCGCATTAACTGCAGCTCGAATACACCCAATGCGTCCGCCCATAGGGTTTTATAAGAAGAATTACATATTTAACATCGTTTGGAAAATTTAGCTCGTGCGTTCAAAACACTTTTCCAGCACAAATTGCACAAACAACCGTTCTGAAAAAAAAGTAAAACACAATTAATTTTTTGTTATCGTTTAGTTTGATACTCGACTTTTATTTTTATTATAATTTTTTATGAATCTTTTTTTCGTATTTTTATTTTATTTATTATTTGCTTTCGCCTTTTATAATTCTATTCATACATTTTTGTTCGATTGCTTCGCAAAATTATCTCCACCGCGCTTGCATGCGCATGCGCTCGCAGCTGGCATATCAAAGCGCGGTAAAAACTTACGAGGAAAGCTGCAAAGCGCATGTGCAAACATACACTAGGCGACAAATGAAAGTGTACAGCTTGTTCTATTATAATATTCACAATTATTTTCATGAAGAATTTTCTGCATTAATCAGTTATGAAAATATAAGTCATTCTATAATATGTATGTATCAACCATATATGTAAATCAAAGTTTCACACAGTAGGTACAAGTTCACAAAAATTCCAAAAAAATTTATCAAAATTTTCATCTTTTTATTCAAAATTTCTAGTTTCCCATTCAATTTTAGTCCAATGAAGTGCAAGTTGATTTTTCAGATTTTTTTTTTGGATACTGCTTTTGCGGTTTTTTTTATGACATGTGTAATTTACAAAAGCTGGCGTTGATTTTTTTTTGACATTTTCTTGCTAACGGTCTCACGCATTTTATTGCATAAGAAATGCATGCTTATATGGAAAAAAATGAAAAAAATCCGTCACAAAAAAAAAATTCTCAAAAATCAACGACATTCTAAGCCATTTGAGTCATAAGACAATTAACTACAAAACTGCATATAGAAATTCTCAATTAAAAGTTGAAAATGTTTATGAAATTTTTTTGAATTTTTGTGAACTTTATATAAAGTGTGAAATTTTGATTTTTACGGTTTATATTATAAAATAAACTATATTTTCATAAATAATTAATGCAAAAAAATTTCATGAAAATAATTGTGAATATTATATTAGAACAAGGAGTGCACTTTCATTTGTCGCCTAGTGTATCTATGTGTAGTACTTATCATCGCTTCTTACTTTCTTTTCTTACTCATCTTGATTTTATAAATTTTTATGATTTTGTTTTTTTGGTTTATTTTGTTTATTTTTGCTACTAACTCGCTTGGGTCTCTTCTTCATATCAGCATCATCGTCATCTCATCATTCTTAGAATATGTATGTATGTATGTATGTATGTGTATCAATCAAAAACTTTATCAAATGTGCTTAGCATACTAAAATTCGTTTCGCTCGCTTATTCGCCCACTGCAACTTCTGCCGTTTACATAGCTCTACACTTCCAAATTTTTCATCATCATCATCATCTGCATCAGCTTCTTCTTCTTACTTAAACTTCTANCTTATTCGCCCACTGCAACTTCTGCCGTTTACATAGCTCTACACTTCCAACTTTTTCATCATCATCATCATCATCATCATCATCTGCATCAGCTTCTTCTTCTTACTTAAACTTCTCCTCACTGAGTTGCAAAAATATATATAGTTTATATAAAAATGTTTCTGAGAGGGAATTTTGTTTGATTTTTTTTTTGTATTTTGTGTTTTTGTTTATTTTTTGTTTGATTTGTATTAATTAGTGTTAAATATTAGCGAATTGTGTAGTAAGTGTTTATATGTGTGTAATATGTATGAATGCATGTGTATGTTGTATGTATCTATGTATATATGTAAGTTTTTTTTTTTTGTTTATTAAATGTAAGTTTAAATGGAATTTTTTGCACGCACTTCACTGCAATATGCAGCATCTCTGATCGCTGATCGCTTTAGTATTTGCACTTTTTTGCATTTTTTACTTGCTTTCGAAATAATTAACATTTTTTTTAACAGAAAATGTGTACGAGTATAAGATAAATACATATGTACGAGTACATTAAAGTTTATATAAAATATTTTTGTTTTCAAAAATCAATGCAAGCATAAATGGCTTAACTCCAGATATGTTTTTTTGGCTACAGCACTTTAGTGTATGCGTGTCTGTATGTCTCTTTGGGTGTATGTTGAGCCGCTGCAGCCAATTTGATATCTTACTTCGCTGTCATTGATTTTTTGTGGTATTCAAATACAACAACTTTAGCATCAAAACTGAGTGCAATAAATTTTTTTCGTTTGCTTTTTTTGTTGAAAATTAAATCCCAAAATTAAACTTCTATCACTTTACTTTTGGCGCATAAATTTATTTGTAAGTGCGCCGCGTTGATATACATGATAAAATATGTATGTACATTAGGGTGTACCACCAAATCTAGTTGCAGTTTTTCTACCGGAATTACAGTCGAAACCGGCTAGTTGAACTCTTTTTAATTGGCACGGAAAATCTGACCCCAATTTTATTTTAGCTTTTTCATACACAAATTCCATCGGTTATTTCAGACCTTGGCTAAATGAAAACATCGGTTTATTGGTGAAGCAACATTTATGCTTGGAAATTCGAAAATACACTAGTAACAGTTCTCTTTTAATGCAACTCTTTTTCAACTCAACTTCATAATATACAACGACCCTGGAAATTTTTTTAAAACTCTTACAACCGGGTTCACGCAAATAAATTATCAGCTGATTTCATAGAATTTTCAAATTGAGTGAACAAATTTCGGATAGCTAAAATCTGGCGGTTTAGTAAAAGTTTGCTTAATTAGCTACTGTTGCATTTAACCAAAGATCTGCTAATTGTACATCACGGTTAATTGCTACTGGACGGTGTTGCAATTTCGGAAAAAATTAAAGATTTGAAAATACCTCCAAAAATCGTTTTATTTTTATTTCTGTTGACTAGCTTTTCAAACATTTTTAAGCAGACTTTTTAAACTTAAACTCTTCTATCACTGAGCTGATTGTTTAGAAAAGATATTTTAAGAACTAATTTTATTTATAAAAGACTCGATTTTCGAAGGTATTTTCAAATAGATCCAGCTCAGGTAAACCTTAATATTTTTCCTAAATTTGTTAGCGGAAGTCTCAAAATTTGGAAAAACAAAATCAAGTTTTTTGTGGGGTGGTGCTACACCCTAGTGCACACAAAAATACGATTCGTGCTAGAGGTCATCGTAAAGTATAACCGATCGATTTCCCTCTGAGAAGAGCAGCTCACTTGGAGATACCTTACATGAGTTGAGAGGAACAACAAATAATAAAGTTTGTACGAAAGACAAAACTATGCAATCTGAAAATTTAATTTTTTTTTAATTATTTCCGATTTTGCATTCAAGCGTGTGTTCGAGAGACACCCCTCCTCCTTTCCTGATACTCAACTGCATGTGGCTCTATAATAATACAGAAAATTGCTTTCGAACGTATTCGCATTGCGTTCGTTTTGAGAGCAAATAACAAATAGAACGAAAATATTTTGTTGGTCTCCAACACATTCTATCGCCGTTGTTGTCCAATGTTTTTTTTTTTTTATCTAGAACCCTAGATATTCTTGAATAAAAAGCAGCCCTGCTGCAATTATTAAAGCTCGAACACACACAAGCATAAATATTTATGAATACGTAGCCTTTGTGAGCGCCTAAAAGTATGCTTGATTTTGCGACGTTGAACATAACGTTTTATCTTCGATATGTCGCTTCAAAATAGTTTAGTTACCGACCTCCAGAAAACTACATATCGTCACCTGAAATGCAAAAAAGCCGTAACTAAATCTTTTTTTCCTAACAATTTTGTTAAGAAATGCATCATAATTATAATTACATGGTTATAATTAATAAAAAGCGAATTTTGGATATTTTGTTTCTTTTACATTTCAGGGTTATATGCATTTCTATGAAAAATACACCCAAGAAAATTGCCGTTTCGACGGGATCTGAAAAATAGTGGGTAAAAAAAAATCGAATTTGACAGTATAGAATATGCCATTGATCTGAAAAATGTCTTACAAGTATGTTGTTAGTCTTTGTTTGAAAACATTAGGCAACCACTTTTTCGGCAATTGTGATTTCTACAATACATACATATTTTCTTAATTCGTACTTTGTGGTCCATGAAGCTCCATTATACCAACTTTCTGCTTGATTGGGCTTAAACGTTTAAGAGATATATGCAATATACAAGTCTTCTAAATATTCGCCCTCATTACAAGAGTCGTGTCGGATGTAAGTTGTTTTTCGAGAGTCGTATCGTATTGAAAATTTCACATCATTGCCCAAAATTTCGACTAGTGTTTTAAAACAGAAAAACTTGCTTAGTTTTCGACGATTTTCGACGTTCACTTATTTCAGCACGACCGTAGACAATGTCAATGTTGTAGGGTCGCACAATTCAGCCTAATTTACGACTTACGCAATGAGGCTGATTAACTTTTAGGCGCTCAACATCATACACTGAAGAAATCTAAACAGTTTTANGTACAATTCAGCCTAATTTACGACTTACGCAATGAGGCTGATTAACTTTTAGGCGCTCAACATCATACACTGAAGAAATCTAAACAGTTTTTTGTACTAAAACTAAGCTCGTTCTCCCAATTATTTGCCACAGTCATACAAACTTAAAACTACTTATTTTCACCTGCTGTGGTTATCACGCATACAGCCTTCGTAGCATATATTTAGACGCTCAACTTTGTTTACAAAGCAAACAAATCATATTACAAAAAAATAACAGGTCCCAGTAAAAAAAAAAAAAAAAAAGTAGGAGCAACCAAAGATTAATCTTACGATAGTTCCTTCGTGAGCAATGGATTCTTCCACAAATCTACGAGACTTGTGCATTTTATACTTACTTTTAACATTGCGTGTACTTACGGCNAAAAAAAAAAAAAAAGTAGGAGCAACCAAAGATTAATCTTACGATAGTTCTTCGTGAGCAATGGATTCTTCCACAAATCTACGAGACTTGTGCATTTTATACTTACTTTTAACATTGCATGTACTTACGGGCAAGCACTCCGTTTGAGCTCCTTACGAAGGACAAAGGAAGTATTCGTTTGAGCTTATTTTGACCTCGAAACGAGAACAAACGGAGTAATCTTCGTATATTCCTTAGCTCGTTTTATTACTCCGACAAGTACCAATAAGCGAGGAATCAACAAACTTTTTATTTGTTGATCGCCCGCTTTTTGCTAGAATCCATAAATTTTTTACTGGGATATTTGCTACAACTACTATTAACTGCACCACGCAAGCTTGGGACGGGGAGTTACAAGTAGTTCTTTTGCTTGAGCTTATTTTAATCAAAGTAAATTTGGTTTTTGTTTCTTTTATCAAACTGAACAAATTTTGCAGATCAAAAAAAAAATAATAATTCTGCAGCGCTCAGATACATACATACATAATTGATAATAGGCTACAGCTTCGTCTACCATCACTTCAGCTGCATTTGTCCGTTTGTAAACTTCAACATCTTTCTGCTACACAACAAGAGTAGATACAATATAGTAGATACTACAATATAATTATTTATCAAAAAATCAAACTTCAGAGTGTTTTCTTTTTGTTTACGATTTCGTTTTATAATTATTAAAAATTATATGAATTATCATATCTTTTTTATAAAAAAAAGTGAACGACTTTTTGGATTGTACGATGTTTAAATGTTTTTTTTTTCTACGCTTTTCACACATTGTTGGTGTTGTTATAAACATTTTATGAACGAAGTGTAATTTTATGTTACTGTGTGTGTATGTATGTTTGCGTTTGTGTATATATATATGTGTGTGTGTAAGTGTATTATGTCGCGAAAGTTCACTTCATATACTACATGAGTGGTGGCGACGTGATTCCAGTGTTTTTTTTTTTGTTTTTGTTGTTTTTTTCGTTCATAATACACTTTATTATATAAGCCCGCAAAAAGGCAATTGTTTTTCAATCTTAACAGCCATATTTTTTTAACATCAACAAACACATTCTTAATCTTCATACAACAAACTTTACATATTTGTTACTTTTGTTTTTGCGAATGCGTTTACCAGTCGTTATTACGAAAATATCGTTCGAAAAGATCAATTGCAATTATACATAAGTATGTTGGTAAAAAATTGGAAAAAAAATGAATTGAAACATTTTTTTGTTTTGTTAAGACAAATTTTTGAGATAATAGTGATAAAGTAATTATAATTAAATTATGTGTATTTGGAATTTTGGAAAGCTTGTGATGGGCTGAGTGGAAGGTACGCTGTAAGGGTAAAATGAGAAGCAGGCCAAAGGGCGCACATATCGAGCCATAACCGCCAAAATAACGTAAGCGACATTTTTTTCAAAATTTTCTTTTTGATGCAGAAAGGCATCTAGATACTCTAGGAATATTTCTGCATCAAAAAGAAAATTTTGAAAAAAATGTCGCTTACGTTATTTTGGCGGTTAGGGCTCGATATGCTGTACAGTTTTAGCAAAATTTTTGCGATTCAAACACACTTTTTTTCTTTTTGTGATTTTATGTTTTCTAGTGGAACAAAAAAAAAATCCTAAATCTTTTTGTGAAGTTCTTTACATTCCACCCTCCTGGCAGCGGGCACTTTTCACTCAGCACACAATTTTTCCGTTACACAAGTGAGAGCAAAATATTGAAATTAAGAAAGGTACAAAAATATTGTATGTATTTTTTGTAAAGTAAAACCCGATAAAGGATAATAGCTTGCGTGGGTGAGCACAACTGGTTGAAGCGGGAGGGAAGAATGCTAAGACACGAGTTTTCTAAAATTGTTAAATTGGTAGTCTCTGAAACGTGCGAAAATCTCGAAAAATGCATTGCGCCAAATTAGAATTTGTTTTCTTAGCTTCAAAATAATTCGCTAGTTTCTTATGCGTTTCAGAATTTCTCACCGAAAAATGTCGTAGTAGGCATTTTTAATTTAATCTCCCCCTCTCACCTTAACTCACGCACACAATTACATGTTGGATTATTAGGTTNGCGTTTCAGAATTTCTCACCGAAAAATGTCGTAGTAGGCATTTTTAATTTAATCTCCCCCTTTCACCTTAACTCACGCACACAATTACATGTTGGATTATTAGGTTTTTTTGTTTAATTTTGCAATTATTATTGAAATCGAGTTGGTACTCTTAGAGGAAAATGTGGAACAACAAAACGTACGAAAAAAACGTGTGTCTTGTGTTCAAAATTGCATGAATGTTATTGTTTGTTTTGTTTTTGAATATATGTATACGTATTTATGTATGTATGTATGTAAGTTTTCGTAGTAGTAAACTTTTCGCTTATTAACCACTAGCCGTTGCCGATTGACAGTATTCGCTGCCTAGATGTTGTCCAGCGCCTGCTGCTAAGCGCATACGTCGCTGCATTAACAAACTCTCGCTCGGCGGTGAGAGTCCAATGCCTAGTGTACCAGGTGATGGTGGTGATCCACTGCTGCCGCCCAAAACAAAACCATTTCCGACGCTGTCACCGCCGCCGCGCGACTGCTGTTGTAAATACATGCCGCCCGTTGGGGAATGCGTGAAACGACCTGAGCCTATGCGCGGCTGGTGTTGATTACTTCGCAAGACTTGGGCGCGCATTATGGCGCCATAGCCGCTGCCGCCGCCGCCGCCTACACCGCCCTCTTGGGTGGGCGAGTAGCGTGGCTGTGTTGGATGTTGATAGCTACGGTGCTGTTGCATGCCGCAATTGCGTGCACCTGTATAGATGCAATCGTTGCGCCAGTTGTGTATGGCACCAGAAGAACCGCTACCGCTATCGTCGGATGGTGGCGAAGCGCCGCTTACACTAACGTGGCTGTTGTTATAGCTGTTGCCGCTAGTGGAGCGAGCGTTGTAGTAGTAGCCGCCATTACCGCTGCTGCGTTGTTGACCTGCTGCATTCCAACCGGGCGAATGTACGCCTGGCGAACGATACTTGGTGCGGTAATTGTTGGCAGCAACACCATCGCCGCTGCTGGCGCCGTTTATTAAAATGCCGCCACGGCTGCGCCAATTTTCAGCCGTTTGACCTGAAGTCTGTTGCTGCTTGCTGTTGTTGGCATTGTTGCCGGCTGCTGGTTGTGAGTAGCGTCTATGTTTATTGTTGTATTGTTGTTGTTGCTGGCGACGCGTATAGCCGGCCGCATTGGCGTTGTTGGTGCTGTGCGAGCGCGGTCTACCGTAAACAGCAGCATCATCATCCTCATCGGCATCATCCTCAAGTTCAGCATCGTAATTATTATTCTGATATGCATCGTAATCATCGTCAACACCGCCGCCACCGACGCCGCGAGCGCCGGCACTACCAAGCGCAAAGCACACATTACGCTGGGCTTTATTAGCGCATGGCGAACGTTTAGTTTTCAATAAAGTTTGTTGCTTTTGAGTTTGCTGTAATTGTTGCTGCTGCTTTTTATTTTGTTTTTGCGGCTGCTGCTGCTGCTGCTGTTGTTTTTGATTTTGCTTCTGCGGCTGCTTCTGTTGCTGTACTTGTTGTTGTTTTTGTGTATGCTGCTGCTGATTGCCAAAAGTCGTTCGCATTGTTGTCNTGTTGCTGCTGCTTTTTATTTTGTTTTTGCGGCTGCTGCTGCTGCTGCTGCTGTTGTTTTTGATTTTGCTTCTGCGCCTGCTTCTGTTGCTGTACTTGTTGTTGTTTTTGTGTATGCTGCTGCTGATTGCCAAAAGTCGTTCGCATTGTTGTTGCCGCGCTGGTGGTGGAAGCCGCTGGCACTACTGCATTTGCGTCAACCGCTGCTTCTTTGTCCTGCAACGTCTGATGTTTACCTCTGGCGCTTACCGGAGCCCTTGAGTCGAAAATGTTCTCGTTTACATCGTCGCTTTGAGTCGCTGACGGTTGTTCGCGCTTACCAGCAATTCTCTTATCATTGTCATTGACTGCTGCAGTCTCAAATGCGGCTCCGTTCACTGACGTGGCGACAACAATATTTGCAGTCTCATTAAATTCAGGTAGCGTTTCTTTCAAATCACTAATACTAGCCAATAAATTAGCATTTTCATTTGTTGTTGTTGTTTTAATATTATCTCCTCCTCCATCGATTTGATTATATATATTTGCTTTATTTGCCTCTGTTTCTGCCTTCGAAGCATATCTGCTGTTGTCGTTGGTGGTGAGAGTTGTTTTTGTTGTATGTTCTGCTCCAGCATCGGTTGTTGTTTTTGTTTCTCTATTTGAATTGGCGATTGTTATATTATTAATATCACTGATTGGAAGTTGGCATTGTTCAGCGGCCAGCAACAAATCTTTAGCTTTGTTGCTGCCTGCGCCGCTGCTGCTACGATTAACATTACAGTTATTATCATTATCAACATTCTTTGATTCAATATTATTATCTTGGATGTTATAATAAGTTTTGAATTTTGCTTTTCCATTTGAATTTGCATTGAAATTCAATTTCGTTTCGTTAGCAAATTCGTTTTGCTGTTGTTGCTTTAGCTTTTCGATGTTTTCTTGCTTGTATTTGAAAACGCTTTCATCAACATCGGGTCTTTCAAACAAATTATTCTCATCATCATCATCCTCATCATCATTAGCATTAACCTTAACCTTATCATGATCAACATTAACATAAGCATTATTCTCAAACATTCGCTCCTCCTTAACTCTCCTCCCCTTCCACTCTTCGTCGTCATCATCAGCGTCTGCATCCTTACGCTCATTATGTAATCTATTATAATTTAATTCAAGAGCACTTTCAGCTCCTGCTGATCTCTCCCCCTCCTTGGTTTGCATGGCACCCTGTAGTAATGTTGTCTTACTGCGTTTGTCATCACCCCCAACACAGGAACTATCCTCCGCATCACTAGTAATAGCATTATCACCATAATCGCCATGACGATAACGATTATGTTCCTGCTCCATATCTCCGCCCATATACAACTCTTCATCTTGATCGCCATCTACATAGTATCTTGGGCGCCTGTTGTAATCGTCAAAGTCATGTGGCGTATAATTATCACTGCTTCTAGTTTCCATATCCTCGCCTTCAAACTCCTCATTTACATTATCCAAATCGCGCCAATGATAGTGACAGCTCTCAACGTCACTCCCATCTTCTGCATCTTCTAGAAAATGTCTACGTCTGCCCATCTCCTCCTCATCGTCGTGAGCGTTAAATTCTCCGACATGACGCTCGCCCACATGCGCCCACTCTTCATCTTCGTCGAGCCGTCCGAATGCCTCTAGCGCCTCCTCGTCGTCATCGTCCTCCTCATGCACGTTCAGAGTCTTGAACGATGACGCGCCCGATTGAAAGATGCTCGACGATTTACCACCACCGCTGCCATTGATGCTGCCAAAGCGACTTGATTGTCGTGTGGCATACAAATTACTGTTGCGACCGCCATAGACGGATCGATTATTGCTAACGCTAAGCGTATTATTCATTGAGCGACTACGTGGCGGTGGTGGTTTAATAAATACTGGCGGACTGTTGTTATCCGCTCCGCCATTGTGAGTCTCGAGCTGTATTTGCGACGGCTGATAGATGTTCGGACGCTCCTTCATGTAGTCGTAGCGCATGGAGAAGTGTTGCAAGATCACGCGTTTCACAGCCATTGCCGATTCGGCGAATTGCGATATTTCGCGCGCAGATTGATTGCTGAAAAGTAAAGGTTAAATTTTAGTACTACAATGTTAGAAAATGAATAGGAAACATATAAAACTTGAGCATTTATGCAAAAGTAGCAGCTTCTTTGTATTTTATTATTTTTATTTTTTTATTTTACATTAAATAACTTACCGCCTAATATTGCCAGGAGTGCGCAGCGCTTTACGCCGATTTTCCATTTTCTTACTATCGGCCGGATTCTCTTCCTCGGAAAATTTGATCCATGGATGATGTAAAACGGCTGCAGCACTTAAACGCTTTGGCGCTTCCTTGACGAGCAGGCCACGAATTAAGTCTTTGGCCTCTTCGCTCACGTCCGTCCATTCAGCATCGGGAAAGCAAAAACGTCCTAGAAGAATGCAACAATAAATTATAAAAAAATGTGTTTCATTTAATTACGCACATTTAAATAAAGTAGTGTGGTTTATACTCGCGAATCTCACTTACCTTCTTGTATGGACTCGAAGAGCAACTCTTGACAGGTGCGACAGTTCTCGCCACGATTCCAGCCGCAATCCTGTTCACAGTTGCCCGAAAATGGTGGATAGCCACACAATAGTATATATGCAATCACACCAAGCGACCACAGATCACAACGTTTGTCATAGTAATTTGCCTCGCCAACGAATAGATCAACAACTTCGGGCGCCATAAATTCTGCGCTACCGACCTAAGAAAAGTGAGACGTTAAGGTTTAAGTTAAAAGTCGTACAAAAAGATTAGCGATTAGAAGTACATTTAAAAAAAAGCGAGAAATTAGCATTTTATTATTTCTACTCACTGGTGTTAGCAGTTGTGGCGTTGCCGACGGCGATGACACGTCTGTGGTGAATTTGATGCCCGATCCCAAATCGAAATCGCAAATTTTAATCGGGCACAATTTTTCCGGATTTACACATAAAATATTTTCCGGCTTCAGATCACGATGAGCAATGCCTTTCTTGTGCAGAAAATCCAAGCCAGATGCGATTTCTTTGATAATCTGCGCTGCCTCATGTTCTGAGAAACAAATTTGTTCTTGGATGCGCCTTAAAAGGGGGCCGCCATTAATCTGGAAAACGAGAGTAAAAAAATTATAATTTATTATTTTTTTTTTAAATTCTGTTTTAAGTAGCATACTGTGTATGGATGTGCGATTTTTCTTTTTCAAAAATTATTTTATTTTTCTTTGAAGTGTCAAGAAAGCATAGTTATTTTAATTTTAAAATTTTAATAAAACTTTAAGCATCTAAAAATAGTTGTACCGAAAAATTAATATTACATACATATATAAGGTTAAACGTTAGACATAAAAATTTTAATTTCAAAAATTTTACTTTCAATAATGTACATATGTATATACGACTTAAAAAACGAAAAAAATCGATTTAATAATAGATCAATTAGGTTTCAATAACATCGGATTTTAAAAATTGAATTGATCTCAAAAACCGAATAGATTAAAAAACGGGATGTTGACAAAACTTTGATTTGAAAACAAATGGATTCGAAAAGGAAAATAAATTTGAAAACAAAAATTAAAATAATTTGATCTGCGAAAAAAAATGTTTTAAAAAAAGCATAGATTTCAAACTGATTGATGGACAAAAAACATTTGACTTATAAAAATTTATTTAAAAAAAAAAATGGAATTGAAAAATATGGATTTCGAGAAAAAAAATTAAAATAAATCTATTTAATAATATACAAATACAGATGTATACATATATTAATTGACAAGACTAGATTTCAAACAAATTTGACTTAAAAAAAAAATGGCAAAATTAAATTTAGAAAAGCATTTACAAAACTTTTTTAAAGCACTCGCATAGAATTTTTACAGTACATACGAGCCATGGTACAATAAAACAGGTAGAAGCCAATTTGACGGTAAACCTACAAAAGTCAAAGTTTTCGGGAGAGTAAAAATAAAAATGAGCGTGTGTAAGGAAAAATAAAAAAATACATTTCACTGGTTGACGTTTTTAAGTATATTTGAAGTTTATTCTTATTTATTTATTTTCTTTAGTTAAAATTTGATAAAACGTGTATGTTGTTTTCTGTTTTTGAAGTTTTCTACAAATTGTTAAACTTGGGTTTATATGGGGTTTGTTAGAGAAAGAACTGTATTTTAATTGAAAATTCTTAAAAATAAATAAATAAACATAAGTTGCACACAATATCACTTTGAAACGGCGTGCTATAGATATGACCGATACTGTATATATTAATTGACAAGACTAGATTTCAAACAAATTTGACTTAAAAAAAAAATGGCAAAATTAAATTTAGAAAAGCATTTACAAAACTTTTTTAAAGCACTCGCATAGAATTTTTACAGTACATACGAGCGTGTTGTGACGCGGCTTACCTTTTCAAAAACCAAATAAAATTTTTCATCATCTTCGAAGAATTCAATTAATTGTAAAATGCCCGGATGTCCCTGACAGTGATGGAATGTCTCCACTTCGCGAAAAACACGCGCACGCGCATGTCCCGGTATTTTATCGATCACCTTTACAGCATACTCCAAATCGGTGTAGATGTTTACGCATGTCTGCACGGAGGCGTAGGCGCCTTCGCCAAGGATCTCGCCCGTCAGCTTATACAATTCTGTGGAAAAAAAACAAAAAACAAAAAGATAAGTAAACATAAACAAAAGTTGAAAGTTGATTCGAGTAGCAAATATTAAATTACAAAATCAAGCAAAACAAACTATTGTGTAATAAAATAGTAAATAAGGTCGTATTGAAGAAAACACTCAATTAGCTGGGCGAGCCAACTGCCGACTGCCTACGTGCACGGCTCCCAGCACCGTCTGCGCATTCACTTTACGCAACCTTGCGATCGATAATCCTTACCCTCCTCTCACACTTCTTCCTACACAAAGCTTATTTAATAGACATATGTCTACGCAAAATACGTTTATTTCATCGCAGAAAATAGCCGGCGAAAGCAATGCACACGCGAATTCTATAAACAACACTGTCAAAATTAAGCAAAAACGAAAAACATATAAAAGCACAAAAAACATAAATTTATGCACGTGGCAGTGCAATGATTTAATTATTTGGCTATTTGCTTCTTGTGTGATTTTGTTTTTTTTTTTAAATTTTTGCTACCTATTTTTTAAATTTTCCAGTAATCTTTCGCATTATTTTAGTTTTCAATAACTCGTCGTGATTACGTATGCATTCGCCTTGTGCCATTTTCACCGAGTCACGCACGCACACCTCAAATGCAAAACAAAAGCAAGCAATTCTATTTTTCTTTTAATTTTTTTTTCGAGGGTTTTTGTTCTTACTTTTAAAAGTATTTTTAGCTGTACCTACTCGCACATTTCGGAAATATTGTGCAAAGTGGCAACCGGCAAATAAGTACATACAAATGTACGCCAGTAAAAGTGGAGACGCAGACAGTGAAAAGCTATGGTGAACGGTGGAAAAGTAAAGCGCTGTGACGGCGTGGAAGCTGTATGCTCGCTGCGCATTTATTTGAATACATAAAATTATTTTATATGGCATTTATCTGTATAATTACTTTCAGCTATAAACCTGTGCGCCTTAGCCATCAATTACATTTTAGATTTAAGGTTATTTAAAAAATGGATATGTACGATGTTTTAAACGCCGGGTGACATCGAACAGCTGTTTTTAAAATTCAGCTAAGAGGACAATGACAGCATGACGTTCAATACGGCTTCCTTTTTGGCGTTGTTTTGTCCAAATTCCGATAAAAAAACAAAAAAATTGCACAGAGTTCGCTAAATGGATTACTTATTGGTCTGCAAAAAAAAACAACACAAATAAAGAAAAAACAGTGATCTTATATGCAGCACGAGCTTGCCAAGGTATGCAATCTCGTTATTTTCATTGACTTTTATTTTTGTTATCAATATTGCAATTGTATGTGTTATTTTTATTGATATCGATATTTTTAGTGTTATCGTTGTTTTCATTGTTATCGTTATTTTAATTGTTATAGGCACTTATTTTAATCGAGTTTTTTTTTTTGTTGTCGGTACCGTTTTTATATCGATATTTTTTTGTTGTCGATATAGTTGACGCTATTTTTACTATCATCGTTATCTTCACCGCTATTGATATTCCTATTTACATTTATATTTTAATTGGTATTGACAATTTTAGTGTTATCGATATACTTATTGTTATCGCTATAGAAATTTTTTGTTTTAATTATTATCGAAATTTTTGTAATCGTTATGTGTTATGTTATCGATAATTGTTCTTTTATCGATGTTTTTATTGTCATCCACGTTTTCGATATTTTTGTTGTTTTCAATATTATAAAAAAATGTAGAATATATGTATGTATGTACAAACTAACATGTGTACTTAAATAAAATAAGTCAAGTTCAGGTTACTAAAAGCTGAATGGTAAGTCTTGACTTGTTTTATTTTATATATGTACATATTTTATTGGACATGTTAATTACAACTTTGTTTTAAGCATATTTTTGACATTTTACTTTGAACTTTTTAGTTAAATTTTTTTCTAAACGTGCTAAATTTGTGCTTAACAAACAAACAAATTTTTCAGTAGATTTCAATTTAAGTAGATAATATATATATACATACATATATTCTATATAAGAACAAAATCAGACTACACACAGAGATAACGATTTTTCAACTGTATTGTATGCACATATGTATGAAGATCACTCAAACTTAGCCTACCTTAATAATAATCTTCGCGCTTTTCTGTTTATCAACCAAGCTCTTTGTTGTTGCCAGCCAACAAACAACGAGTAAGTTCAAACTCACCTTGAAATGTTGACGAGTGCAAAGAAGAACTGGTGCGTTTCTTCTTGCGTCGCTTCTTTTGCATTTCCTCCTTATGACGATTGAGTTCCGCCTGACGTTCAATTTCCGTCATTTTGGGCGCCTCGCTGGACTCATTGCCCGAAACATCTTCGCTGCTGTAGCGTGTAATTTCATTATGGCCGCCTGTAAATCAAAAGGAGAGAACAGAGAAAAGCAAATAGTTGGTTAATAAAAATTGTTAATTAAATTTTTGGAGATTTTCAGTAATCTTTCTCAGTTTAATACTCAATTAACTACAAAGTGTGCATATGCGCATACTATATATGCTTAAATATACCATGTACAAA